GGGAGGGAGGGGGCACGGGCCGGAAACGCCTCGATCTTACGGACAAGGTTCTTTTAAAGCAAGCAAGCAAGAGAGAAACAAACAAAAGCAGCCATTAAACTCTTCCGTACTTCTGCTTTCCACATGTGTGTGGTCTAAAAGTAGCTCTGACGTGTTCTCGCTGCTTTTTTTCTTTGTCAGGGCAGGCAGATTTAACGCCTAATACGTTTTCCCTCCTCACCGTTATTCTGCTCTAAACCTTCTTTGTTTAAGCGTTCTGTGTTTTTTATTTTCTTGCTGCTGGCCACTGGAATTTTTGATTTTTTTAATTTTTTTTTTTTTTCCCTCATCTCGCATATAGGAAATGAAAGAAAAGAAGGAAAAACTTGAGGAGAAAACAGTCCATAAAGAAAAGAAGAAGGAGATAGTAGAGGTGAGGCCCTTCCGAGGGATAGATTTAGAGGTGTTGGGCAGGGTTTTATGAGAGGTGGTTAGCCTGTCTCCCTCTGGGCAATGAATTATGAAGGGAATACGGGAGATTAAGAAAGAGGGCAGGCCAAGGGAGCTCATAAGGGAGAGGGGAAAATAAAGAGCGAGCTATAGAATAATTGTGGAGAATGAGCCTTGAAAGACTTAGCCGTAGTCAGTCTGGCCCAGTGAGGAAAAAAAAAAAGAAAAGAAGGGAATGGAGACAAGGGCAATTAGGAGTTAGGAGGAAGGTGGCATGGGAGATAGAGAGATGTTCTGATTGTTAGGATGGGGTGGCAGCAGTTTGTTGGGAGGCAAGCTTGTGGAAGTCAAGCAGGTTCGTATTGTTTGGGAGGGACTGGAAGGATTTGTTTTGTAAAGAAGGCTGGTTTGGAGGAGGGTTTCAGCTGGATGTTGGGAGTAACAGTGCAGAGGTCACTCAATGCACATCTGAGACTGGAGTCTGAAGTGGCTGGAGTTGTGGAGATTGTTCTCACGCTTACAGCAAAGATCGTATGGAAACGTCATCCTGATGCCAATTTCTGCTCTGACTGCTTTGTGTCATTCAGGATGAGGAAAATGGAGCTGAAGAGGATGAGGAAGAGAATCCTGATGATGTGGATGAAGAAGAAGGTGGTGATGAGGATGAAGGTAGGAATAATTGGTATAGGAAGAATGCGAGGAATCGGGCTGTTGGGGGAATAGATCATGGAGGGAATTTCCTTCTCTGAGCCATCTGGCTGTGAGATTACATTCTCTTAGATGCTACTTGAATTAACCTGTGATTTCCTCTCTTGCTTGTGCTTAGAGGGAGACGAGAATGGGCAAGAGCAGGATGGTCATGCAGAAAAACGATCTGCAGAGGAGGAAGAGGTGAGTAATAGTGTGAGAGTAATGGCAGTGAGAAGGAACTATCTTACCTGCAATATGCAGATCAAATTCATGTGGGTGCTGCTGCTGAGCATGTCATATTGGCCTTGGGTCTCATTGCTTCAGCAGCAGATGGGTAAACAAATCTGACATGGCAAGGAGATCATAAACCCCTGGAGACTCCTTGTAGAATCCCAATCCTGGTATTAGCTGTCACAGTGCTGTGTGTTTGAGAGTCAAAGTTCTTGAAGTTATGCTGGGTGATGATCCCTCAAACACCTGTGACTTGTAGGCTTCAGGCCAGAAGGTGGATTTGTAAGAGTGGATCTCAGGGTCTGTCTGAAGCAATGTGAGCCTGGGCTTCCTATACCTCCTGAAAGTAACAGTGTGGATATCCCTCCAAATGGAGCTGGCCATGTCTTCATGACCATCAGCAGAACAGTTGTGTCAGGTGCTCAAGGGTGCTGTAAAGAGGAGTGGATTTAGGGTGGGCCAAACAGAGATTTTTGTATGGAGGAAAGATCAATTTGTGGAGAAATGATGTGCCCTGGTGTGGTGTCTGATGGTAACTCCTTTTTTATCTCTCTGTGTCCTATGTAGGATGAAGTGGATCCAAAGAGACAGAAGACAGAAAACGGGTCTTCAGCTTGAGTCCTCCCCTCCCATCCCATCTTCTCTGTTCCGTCCATCTCTCCTCCTCCATTCCAGCCTTTGCTTGCACTGTCAGCCTCTGGCTTCACACAATCTCAGATGAGGAAAGATTAGAAATGCTCTCAAACAGGGACGACAGCAGTTTCCTTCTCACCCGAAGACCTAGCCCATCTGTGACATTCCCCAGCTGAAATTATTGCAGTCTGCCACATCCCTTCAAATGTGCCCCACTCACAAATGATCCTCTTCCCTCAAGAATCTCAGCATTTCCTGTGGCCCGGTACATAACCTTGCCAGGCTCGTGTGCCAGGCTTCTCGTGTGGCAAGCACCGCTCTCTCCCTTTTCACTTGCCCTCCCTTTTTTGTCACTAGTATGGCTGAGATTCTTGACAGCTTCTGCTCCCCAGACCTGCTGTCAGATGTCCTCCCTGAGGCCAGGAGGCTGCAGGCACAGATCTCATGGTGCATTTTCCAGTCCTAGGCCTCCTCTCATCTGCTTTCCCACTGAACCCCGAGAGACAAAGAGAAAGAATATTACAAGCAAATAATGGTTCTATTAAACCACATGTGGAGACAGAATTTATTTTAAGCTTTTTTTTCCCAAGTTTACATGACAGCAAGCTGGCCCTCGTGAATTTTTCAGAAGATAAGGGTTGTTTTTATATATGAATTTCATCTGAACGTATTTTTTTAATTTGGAGGCTTTTTTAAAACAAGACAGAAACAATTGGGGACCAAACTTTGATTTTCATTTTCTCCCTTCAGATTTTCTTGTGACCATTTTTTGTAAATGAAAGGCGATATAGCCACAGCATTTTCTATGGCACAGACATCACGAGGATGATAGATATAAATATATATATTGTTTTCAACTAGCACTGTAAATAAAAGCGTTTAAAAATATTTCAAACAGCTTGTGTGAACAGTTCGGTCTGTACATCTTAGGTTGTGTTCTGGTCAGATGGGTAGAAGTTGGTTTGCAGAAAGAGGGGGTTGCTTGACCAGCAGCGGGTAGAGGGGAAACCCCAAGTTAGTCAGAAGACTTGTGCAAGTTATTCGAAAGGCCCCTGCATGTTGGAGACCACAAAGCATGCTGGGGTCCTGCTCCCTCCCTCTGCCCAGCAGTCACAGCAAGGGCACAATACAAGCGTTAAGACAAAGCTCCAAGGGCTTTTGTGAAGCTCTCAAAACTGTGATTGGGCCTCGGTGCCAGATGGCAGAGGTTCAGAAAGGGAACCCAAGCTGCAGCTGCGGGATGTGGCCAAGTGCTGCTCTAACCGTACGCTGCCCTATGGCCTCCCTGGCTGGCTTCAGGCATGACCCGTACAGTGTCAGTTGCAGCAGTGGGGAAGTATTTTGAGAGGCAAGAGCTTCAGTTCTTTGTCCCACCGGCTGCCTTGGAGACACCTGCCGAGCATTGGTACTTTTATCTTTGCAGACCTTTAAAAGCTGCTGTTAGCATTTCTTCCTTTTTAAACTCTTACTTTGGCAACCACACAATGAGCCACCTGGGCCGGGAGCTGTAAGTAACACCAACCTTTGAGCATCGGTGGCTTTGTGCTCCTCCAACTGCAGCAACAGATCAGATACTGGGAGCACAAACAGTTGCTTGTCTCCAGAGGGGCAAAGCTTCAACTGAGGTCTGCATTTGGCTGCAGGCCTCGCCCCAGGGCACAGAGGGACACGAGTGCACAGCTGCTGCCAAGCCCCTTCCCACCTACCAACATCTCTGGGGGCTCTGTGCCTGCCTGGTGGAATCTCACTGCACTGCAGGGTGTGGGCGCACCGCTTCTCCAGCACCCCTTTGGTGGTGGAGCCTCTGTTGGGTCTGGACCCATCTCAACCCAGGGGCCACCACAGCCCTGGTGCTCCTGCCCCAA